GGCAAATGCTGTTCTGTCCTCTCATCGTTGTTAGAAAAGATGAGTTTGGGGGAGTGTTGGGAGGGTACTGAGGGGAAGCTGTCCGCTTTGTTTGATACAACATGTTTTGTGCCTCATTTCTATCAGCTTCCAACTGTCTCTTTTGTTATTCTGAAGTTAACGTAATAATATTTCTGCTCTAGCAGAGCTTCTGCTATGGACCAGCAGCCCACTGACTTTTGCGCTGTCCCAGCATAACAATGTCCCTGGTGTACAGGACTTGCTGTCTGAGCAGAAGACACAAGAGGAGCTCAGGGGACACAACTTTTGCAAGCAGACCAGAAGACGGTCTGAAAGGTGGCTATAATAATTCTGTTTTCTTGCAGGAATACAATTGAAGTACAATGAGTTTATATTCCTCATGACTTCTTATAGATGCAGACATATTTTCTCTTTCATTTTGCAACCCACAGTTCTTTCCACTATTTGAATGAGTAATGAAAATGGTATGTGTCTACAGGCTTTCTGTGTCTTGGAAGGTACAATGTTAAAGTGGCAAATTATCTGGTTTGATGAAGGAATCATGGACCATCAGGTTCAGTTTGGGTCTGGAAGCTGACCTAGCCTTTGTATCTTCAAAGGAAGGAATGTTTTAGGTGTATTAAAGTCACAATGAATTAACCAGATCTGACAAACCCTTCTAATGCCACAGTTGTTCAGTAGGACTAAAAACACCCTATCAGCAGCAGAGGGTACATGCACAAGGAGCAGGTTGGGTGAGTTACCATTTCCATATTGCTGAACTAGAGCTTTTAAATGGAAGATCCAGGATGAGCCACTCACATTACTCATCTCTGGAAGCACATGTGTTTGCAGAGCTACAGGACAGGTAGATATCAGCACACTGAACCAGTTTTATCAGAGACAAATTGGAGCTCACAACCTTGGCTTAGAGACTGCTTCTGCTAGTGCAAACAGCAGTGTGCAGCAGCTTGCACTGGCCACGCCGTTTTTTGCTTCATTACTGCTCTCTGTAGAATTTCTGTGGCTGTATTAATCTGAGAGGAAATCTGTCACAGGGAGGAAATACACCAGGTCTCACAAGGCAGCCGGGAGTTGGCTGTAAACCTCACTGTCATACCCTGAAGTGTTTGATCCACTGAAGCAGAAGGCTGTGTGCGTGTCCCTGAAACGATGTTCAGTGGAAGAACAGTGTGTAGTTTGGACCAGTGTACAGGCGGGTGTCACCAAACTTACTGTTCAGAGATCCCAGATTAAAATAGAGAAGGGCTTTCCTGTGGCTGGGTATAGCCGTTTTCTCTTGTTGAGAAAACAGATCACTGGATCCAGAAACCATGAAAAAGGAATATAAAGGTTACTGGGTTATTCTCTGCCATGAGGAGCTCATGCACTATGACCACCAACATGGAGTAATCAGAAGCACCAGGCAGGGGAGACTGAATGGACACAAAGAATCATAGTAAGTGTTAAAGATGTTAATGTCCTCTGTTAAAGCACATGGTCTTCCCAAGATGCCAATGGATCTCTTTATTACTCTAGAGTTGTGAGTTGGTTTTGGTAGGTCTGAACACTGTGTAGGAGATTTCCTCAATCTTTTATCATTCTGTTTTCTTGTGATTGCTGTCCCTCTCAGGTAAATGGAAGATTTGGAGACTAACTTAATCCAGACACGCAAAGCATGTAGAATAGAGCAAATGGTAGCAAAATGGCTTCATCGCTCTGGGGATGGTGCATCCAGGTAAACATTTTTTTTTTGTGAAAGGAATATCTGTTGATCATCTTTCATCAGAGACAGCACAAGCTTGTTACCAACAAATAGGGACAGTCACAGGTTGCAGATCTTCCTCATTCTTTCAGTTGTTCTTCAGAAATATGCTTACAGTAGTCTCCAGATAAAACAGTGGTTTTAAGCATCCCCCTTGGTTTCCACAGACACATGTTCCTGTTTTTACCCATTATGCTTTTGTGAGCCACATCTGCAGAAATATAATACTGCTCAATGTGAAATGTACTTTTATTGAAGATGGGGTTGTACTTCTCTCTGTGTCTTGCCATTGGCCTGTTTTTAGGGCAAGACTGGGTTGCATTTACAAAGGATCTTGGTCCACAGTTGCTTTACTTTCCTAACATCTGTGAATCAAAATTAAGCTGTACCGGATCCTGGCAGAAGCAGAGAGCTGTTAATTCTCTTACTGTCTTGCTGGGTAAAGATGTTGCTGTGATCTGTGGAGGTGAGAACTTTCTCTGGGCACACCTGGAGTTCTCCCTTCATGTGACCACTGGGCTGGGGTTACCAGCTGGTACCACTTCTCTGATGTCTTCAGCTTTCTGTGGAGCCTGGGGGATCACTGCTGGTCTGCACAGTGCAGAGCCACCCATGGGTACCAAGAGAAGTGCTGGCCTCCCTGTGTATGGGTGCAGTCTGTGGGATGTGTGTATCTATGCCCCTTGGATAAACTGCCTTCTGACTATGTCTTAATTAAACACTATATTCTTGTCTTGCAGGAGCAGAGTGTCTGTGACAGACAGCACCACTCATGGCAGTGGCCAGCCTGCCAGCCGTGTCAAACTTACTGTCACAGTATACAAAGATTTGGTCCTCCATCAGTACGGCTTTGAGATTTGTCCAAACCTTCCTCTAACGATTGCATCTGTCACTGCAGGTAAGCAGAGTTTCTGTCTCCCTACAACCACAGGTGTGAGAAGCCTGAACTGTTCCAGCTACACCTCTAATCCTTGGACACAACTGACCTCCAGGGATGCAAAGGGCTGCTTCAAAGTAGGGTTCCTCTGATGTTTATTTGAAATGCAGAGGAAGAATTTAATCCAATCTTAGAGTTCTTATTCTGCAGTGATCATAGTGATCTGTTGTTCAAAATGCTCTTTGGGCTTACAACCCCGTAACATGGAGAGGATCACTGCTAGTTACAGGCATCCTGAGTGAAATTCCGCTGAAGTCAAGCAGATCAACTCTTCCAGTTATAAAAGGGGGGGATATAACCCTGCTTTTAAGGTGAGTTGGGAGTTTTAAAACAGAAACTGGGGGTCTGTGTTTTGTTTACCTTTTATTTTTTCAATGGTTACTCACAAATGCCTGCTTTTTACCTGTTGGTGTGACAGAGAGAGAAAGACTCTGCCCAAGCTGGGCAGGTAGGTGTTGTGGGGATGGTGGCTGGAGGGCTCGCCTGAGCTCTGCCTCTGGCCACCCTTTCAGATTGTGGCATCCACTGTCTGCCTGGGGGAATGGCCTCTCCAGGTGCTTGTGCTTTTGGGATGTTTAGTGTAAAGGTCTGTCCTTTCATAGTGCTTTTGAGTGAAAATTTCTCCTTATGCCCCTTCCCATGTGAAACATGGCTAAATTTGCTGGGAGTCTTGGGGACTGAGAAGTGGGGAAGCAGGTTTTCTGCTATGCTTTTCTTTTTTCCTAATCAGAAAGAATCATCATTTTATTAAAACTGAGGCACAAAGAAACCTGTCCTTTTAAGTCTTGTCCTTTGGTATAGGAGCTCACGGCTGAAGGTCCTGTATTTAATCCCAAATGATCATGTTTTTCATTTTGTGAATGCTACCTGACACTGAGGTCTCTCAGAGGCATGGGTGGTGGGTTGTAGGTGGGTTTGTGGGCAAACCTGTCTAGCAGAGAATTTCAGTAGTGTGGCTCTGCCAGCAGGCTGGCCGTGGTGAAGCTAGGGGCTGCATTCACACTCCTCAAACCAGAGGTCCGACGGGTCCTTAGCCTCTTGGATCCTGTGGCTGCTTCTCTCCTGGAAAGCAGAGCTCAGAAACCATCCTCTTCCCTTGTGCATCCTCCCAGCAGACAGCATGGTTAAGGAGACTTCCTCCCTGTTTCCCTGAGTTGCAGAAGGGAGTCACTATTCTGGGAATCCAGCCTACATCTCCTGGGACTGCTGTGGCACCTTGGTGTGGATGTGGCATGCCATGTGTGCTATATATGGTCAGCTGCTGGGGCCATGGTAACAAGCAGGGTCCGGCCAGGGTGCAGACCCTGTAGAGATGGACCATGGTGCTGCGGCAGCTGCTTAGGCCCCCAGAGGCCTCTGCAGGCCAAGGTCTCGCAGGCAGGTCAAGAGCAAGGCAGGGCTGCTCCCCTTCAGTCCTCCTGTGGTTTCCTATGAGCCAGTGATCCCTCCTGCTGCACCCCAGGCAGGTGATGGCTGAGCACTGTATGGTGGCTTGTAATGATGGAAAAGACATGCACAAGAGTGATTTTCTGTGGTGCAGGGGCAGCTTGTGGGGCCAGAAGACAGCCTGGGCGAGGAGACATGGACATGGGAAGTGGTAAACCAGGTGGCCTCAGGGCCCAACATCCTTTGGCCCTTTTTTATTTTGCCTCTCAGAGGCAGTTGCTGAGGCAAGTGAGTGCTGGGTGGGAAGAAGCTTGTAGTGAGGAGGTCTGCCAGTGTGGGGCTACCATGACTAACGGTGTGCCGGTTGCCCACAGGGAGCACCGCTGACGGGAAGCTGCAGCCAGGCGACCAGCTCCTCCTGATAAACTCCACCGCAGTGGATGATCTGTCTGTTGAACGAGCAGCGGACATAATCAGGTGTGGGCCTGCATGGCCTGGGGGACAAGGTGGCAGAGGGTTGAGGATAGATGTGGGGACTGGGTCTCATTGAGGGTTGCAGAGGTGCATGGTTGCGTGGGGCTGGCCTCAGCATGTAGGACCTCGGGGTGCTGTGCTCTGTGGGGATCTGCCCCTCAGGGACAAGCTAGACCTGCAGCTGATGGGCACAGCAGCCCAGGAGATAAGAGTTCTCTGCTCTCCTCTGCCTTGGCAGGGCTCAGTGGGCTGTGCCTTACCTGGCTGAGAGCATTCCCTCATGAGAGAGCCTCGCTGGTACTGTCTGCACAACATGGGGGAAGAAGGCGCAGGCAGCTGCTGACCCTGGCTGACTGCATGTCTCTGTTACAGGGAGGCCGGCGACGAACTCCTCCTAACCATCCTGCGCTGCATGTCGGTAAATGGCCTTTCTTCAGCACTCTCAGTAATCCCAGCAGCACTGCCCCGGACAGCCATGGCCGGCCGTGTGGCCGGCAGGGAAGGGGGGGCAATTGGGCTGGCACATGGGACGCAAGGGTCCAGCCAAAGCTGTGAGGGAGCTGTGCAGGTCTTCTTTCAGGCACACCCTTTGTGGAGATTTTGGGGGAGAATCAGTGGTAACTTCTCACACTGCCGAGGCCAGGGTGGCTTGCAGAGCCTGGTACATGGAGAGGCTCACTGAGTGGTTTTTAGCCCATGCTTCCTGGAGCTAGAGGCTCCATCAGGAGCTGTGAGGGCCCAGCAGGCTCCACAGGGTCCAGAAGGCCACAGTGGCTGGGATGTGAGTAAGTCTCCTCAGCAAGCTGTGGCCAGCCCCACAAGAACAGTCTGGAATGCTTCCCTATGTGTTGGAGCTGTCTGTGCCATGGGGATGCTCCAGACATGAAAGGCGGGTGCCAAGGCTGTAGGCCATGCATCTGCTCTAGGTGCTTCTTGGAAGCTCTCGAGGCATTCCTTTCTGAGTGCTGGAAAAAAATACTCCTTTTTCTCCATGTTCTGTCTGGTTCAGGGCTGGGACCTGGGTGTGCATCATGCTTTGGGAACAGGAGCAAAGTTTTAGTACAAAACTTTGGTGCTGGTTGACCATTTCTGTAGCATAAAATTCCCAAGAAGGCATGCAGTGCTGACGTGATGTGTTTATACACATGGATTACAGTGTGTGTAAAAGCTGAGCTGCAAAATAAGGACAAAACTGGGTTTTTGTGCTTTTTGTCTTCTTGTGATGTAAGAAAGTGGCCTGAGGGGGATTACCCCCTCACCCCACCCTGGAAAGAATTGTGGGAATGTGGGTGGTTTTTTTTGTTTGGAGGGTGTGTTTTGTTTGTTTGTTTATTATTATTTTTATTTGTTCTTAGAAACAAGAATGATGATTCCTTATGAAGAATTACTGGAGCTCTCAGGCTTAAGGTCATGAGGTTTCTTGTCCATTCGATAAAGGGAAGACCTCTTAAACATTTTTCCTACCCAAAGCTTCCCAGGTGTTGCCATTCAGTGGATGTACACAAAGCTGAAGTAACCAGAAAAATGTCAAACAAACCCACTGAACAGTGGCTCCCCTCTTCTGTTAATCTGATCTCCTTTGCCTGGTACATTGGCTGGCAGTCTTACCAGGGCTTCATTTGGCTCTGGAGGTCAAGGGAAAAGTGAGACTTAGTTATACCAGACTTGAATGTCTGCCGGAAGGAGACAATGCAATGGTTTTTGGGAGAAGAGGATTTGGAACACCGTTCACAGGCCTTCATGCATTGTTGAGAAGCAAATGGGGCACAAACCCATTTTTGTTTTTTGCTTTGCAGGTTACTTTTAAGGACACCTTCAAATACAGCCGAGGCTTCTCTTGGGTTTGGGGTTGACTCTTTCCCCACTCTGAAAGCAGTTGTGCTTAGAGCTGAGAGGTAACGCCTCCCATCGACGGATACCAGACCCTCTGCCGGGGCTGCTCTGCCTGCACCAGAAGGGATGTGGGAGGCCTTGGCCCTCCTCAGGGCAGCTGTGGGGTGTGATGCTTCGCACAGTCCGGCAGACTCTGGAAGGGCTTGCTAACTGGGTGCAGAGACTCCTGCCTGCCTCCCTTCCTCTGTCCTAGCCAGATGGCCTCAGGGCAAGATGTGGCTGTGGCAGGTTGGGCAGCCTCTGCGCCTCTAAGAAGAGTGTAGGAATTGCTTGAACTTGAAGTTGTCTGGGAGGATACTGAGGGATACTGCTGTTCTTTCTAGGGAGCTTTACAAGAGCAGGATGTTTCTGCACAAGAATTCAGTGGTTCCTGAGCTTGTGTGGTGTCTTGTGAGTTTGGTAGGCCTCTGTCATGGTGAAAGCATGGTTGTGTGGCAACTGTGCAATGAAGTCAAGTTGGCTTTTTAGCCTAGGACAGTTGCAGTATGAGAGTATACTCTAGAAACGCCAGCTGAGCTGGGAAGTACTGTACACATGGCTATGTTCTTGTGTTATGCTGACATTGGGGGGTGTTTCCACTGCAAGGCACTCTGTATGTGCTGGTTTATGGTATTTTGTATCCCCCCTACAAGCCAGGTGTTGGTAGTTTAACAGTCATTCTGCAGGATCCTGACTTCTTGCAGGGGTTGGGGAGATGCCTAAACACAGTAAGTGGTCATTGTGCAGTGAAATTAGGAATGTGTACAGCATGTGTTGCATGTCTGGGTTTGGGTTCAGAAAGCAGTAGTGGCCCAGACCGGTCAAAAAGGCCTGTGGCAAGCCTGGAGGCTGAGAACTCCTAACAGCACATGTTCCTTTAAGTGTGGTGTGAGCAGCTTCAGCATGGGTTGTGATCGCAGCCCTGCCTGTACTGTGGGCCTCTGTCTCTCATACATACCTGCAATGAACTGGGCTGCCAACCAAGCGCTGTTATTTTTTCAGGGTGGGCCTAAGTCATCATTTCTTACTGCAGAGAAGAGGGAAAGGCTAAAAACAAATCCTGTGAAAGTACGGTTTGCAGAGGAAGTTCTGGTGAATGGAAGCACACAGGTCAGTGGGGCATGGCTGCAGCCAGGTATTGTGGGCACTGCGCGTTGGGAAGAAATGGGTCACTCGTGCAGACAGATGCTGGGCTGGGTTAATGTGGCCAGGACCTACTGAGGGGCTGCACTCTCACTGTGCTTTGGATATGCATCCAGGCATCTGGTCCCACATTGCTTCCAAGGTCACTGGTGGTCAGGGAGAAGGGCTGGCTTTTCCAGAGGGTTTTATCTTTGATTTGGTTACTTAGACAAATGGAAAATGCCTGCATGTAGTACTTTAGTCATTTTACCTTCAGGTAAACTTTAAACCAGCATGACACAGCTGTGGCATGTAGTAGTCATCTCTTGAGGTGCTAATCACTCCATAGTAAACCTAGAGTAAAGTTTGGGCATGACATATTCTCACCCTGAGGATGAGGTGAATCCTACTGTCCATGCCAGGTTTATTTGCTCCCAGAGGATGTGGAGTATCTCTTCTTGGCCTTCAGCAGTGGTCATGTGGTGGTGTGTTCAGAGCATTTTGTACTGGTGACTTTGCTTTGCTATTAAATTCGACATGCATTCTCTAGCTGAAAAGAATGACAGCTTGTTGTGTTTCATATCCTTGCAGAGGGTTTCCACAGAGCATGCACAGCTGCCTCCATAACAGGCTGTCTGTAAAGAGACAAACCAATCTGTTCTTATGTGAAACAAGATCACAGCTCACTGGAGGAATGCCTCAAATTGATTATGGGGTTTCTAACCCTGGTAATGAATGAGCTGGGTAGATAAGGAAAATAGAGAAGAAAAATCAGTGATAACATTTGTAGTTTCCCTGAAGTGAGAACAGCTCTTAAATTTTTAATTTCTTTTTTCTGTGTAACTTAGGAAGCTCAATGTAGTTGGGATGGACTGGAGTCAGTTGGGAGTCTTTAATTCTTGAGTTCTCCTTTTTCCCTTTGAAATGAAAAGTTTCAGTGGTCCAAATCCCCCACTCCCATCCCCTACTCATTAGTGCTGGTCACTTACTCAGGTCTGACCAAATCTTGCATCTTTGCACTTCACAGTGACGATGAACCAGCCACTACGGTTTTCTTCTTCTCTTCTAGGCTGTCTCTTTTTTCCCATCTTGGATGGTAGGGAGCTCTCCTGACCCAGCTCAGGCAGATCCTTCCCTGTGGCAGGCATTTTCTCGTCTCCCCCTGCACCAGGGCAGAGGTGCAGCCAAAGATACTATGGATGTCACCAGCCTATTAGACAGGCACAGTGTGAATGCTTTGCCATCTGTGCCTGACTTCAGGCATGTCAGGACTCCTTCTCCTTCTCTGACCTGTGATTCAGAGCTGAACAGACTCAGGTGTGACTCCTGACACATTTGCCTCTAAGTCTCTCTAGACTCTGGGACCTTTTGGTTCCTGCCAAGTTGTTGCCAGATATGCTGGAGCTGCTGCAAGGTTTGTCTCTCCCTACCAAGGGCTGTGTTCACAACCCTCAGATGTTAATGTCTGTCTGGGATCCTGCATGAGCATTACAGTGTCAGGACCGCCCTTCTTGACATAGAAACCAGGTACTGGATCCTCATAAGGTTGGGAGACATGACACAAGGCCACAGAGCTCACAAGACTGAATAGGAGGATGTACTCTGGAAGTAGTCCCAGGCAGAGATGACTGAGAGGCATTGAGCAAGACTGGTCATGGGATACAGCCAAACCGGAAATTGCAGCAGTCTCTGCGTTGTCTTATAGCTTGAGGTTCACACTGGTTCACACTGGTATCTGCTTGGGAGCTTCCATGGAGCTGTTTCAGCTAGAGGTTGGGCACTGGTGTTGACATGGAGATCACAGGTCTGTGCCATTCACTTACTGATTGCAAGGGAGGTCTCAAGCGCTCTGCAGAAGGCACTTTGGAGGGGACGCTGTGCACTGCACTGCCTACAAAGCCCCCACCAATATTCTGCTGAGCTAAGTTGATCATACCTTTGGAAGTACAAAGGAGGGAAATAATATATAGTTTGCCATTCATTTAATGAGAACATAAAGGTTAGAAATTTATTTGGGTGTTTGTAGTAGGGTGAAGAGTTTGGGTATCTCTTGAAGTCATGGCTGCTGCCAGTGGTAAAGTGTCAGTGCAGGGGTTAGTGCTGCCTGGTACCTGGTAAGAAGTTGTCTTTTCCAGCATACATTGCTGCTTACCTGGTAATGAGCTTTCAGCATCTGCCAGATCTTTCTATGCAGTGGGCATATTTAGGCTATATGCAACTGTTGCACTGGATGGAGTTTTATGGTAAGGCAGATCTTTCTATGCAGTGGGCATATTTAGGCTATATGCAACTGTTGTACTGGATGGAGTTTTATGGTAAGGGCATGTGTTCATGCTCTCGTTCCCTTGTTCTGTGCCAGAAGCAAAACCAGAAGACTGCAAAAGCAGAGAAGGATTTTAATTTGTACCAGGATATGCTGTGTTAGACAGACCAGCCTGCTGCCTGCAAGTGTAACATCCAAGTGTGTTGCTTTTGTTCTGCAGGGGAATTCTCTTCTTTGTATGCCCAACGTTCTCAAGGTATACTTGGAAAATGGACAGACGAAGGCTTTCAGGTTTGAGACAAGCACTACTGTGAAGGTAACAATGCTTGGTTGTCTGTTTTACCACATGAATTCAATTCAGTAGCAAAGGTGCGTGCAGTGGAATTTGCAACCTCTTGGTTGTATTGGCCAGCAAGTGGGAGCTGGATTGCTGACTGATGCTGAGCATGTTGGATTTTCCTTGACTCTTCTGCAGAGCAGACGTTGCTTTGCTTCACCTTTGTTTTCTTCTCAGCAACCAGTATTCACATAACTTGCAGGAACTTGGCTATGAGACCATTACAGTTTTGTGAAATGTGATTGAAGTTGTGCAAGAGAACAGGTTGGGGAGGGACTGGCAAGTCAGCAGCTGTCCTCACAAATGTTACTTTCCTGGGAAACCACATGGTAGAATACAGAGGAGGTTGTTTAATACGTGACAATGTGCATTTCTGAGAGGGAACACAAGTCTCCTAGCTTGGGACCTGGACAGTGGAGTGCAGGTGTGGATATTACGTGAACTCAGCAGGTGCAGTTGTACCAGTTGTTACTTAAAGTGCCTGTCATGTTCTGCACTGGTGAAAATGTTTCCCTGTGAAGACATGAAAACTGATCAACCCCTTGAGATCGGAAAGCAGTAGCACTTCTGTAGGATCACTTGTGCTTGGAGGCATTATCAACAAGTTACCATTGTTCTCTTCAAAATACAAGGTGCTGTTCTTCAGAGCCATTATCTAGCTCTTTCCATAATTGCCGTGTTTAGACATAGGCTTGCAAACTTCAGGTTTCTCTGTCTCGATCTTCAGAGTTGCTCAGTGTTTATGTTGGAGTTAATAAGATTTGCCTGTGCGTAGTGACTGGAGGTCATAATTTCTTTAAAGGATATATGATGCCTGCGGCAGTGCAGTTACTGTGGAAAAGATGCATGATGGATAAACATTCTGGAATTACTAGGCTGAAAGAATATTAAGGGGGAAAGCAAGGAGACTGTATTTATAATGCACTGAAAACCCTTAAAAAGGACTTTATTGTCTTGTTCATCCAACCTTCACAGAACGGTTGTGGTCTCTCATCCAAGTAAGTTTCTGCAAGTCTGGTGAGTCTTTTTCTCTGCAGGGCAGAGGAAAAGAAAATAAGGAAATAAAGCAAGGAGCTAGGAAGGAAAAAGGAGATGAGCTGGAGAGATTTGAATGCCCACCTACAGGGGATTAGTTTCTAAAAGATGGATTAGCTCTTCTGTACTTTGACAGGAGTTGAGTGCAGTCTTCACCAGCATCCTCACAGATATACTCAAATGGGTAAAATGCTTCCTAAGCTAATTGTTTTCCAAAGTTCCTCTGCTGTTTGAGAGCTCCTTGCTTACAACAGAGATGAGTCAAACATATATGCTTACCTCAAGAAGCTTGAGTCAGAGGAGTTCTCTTTCCGTTTGTACTCAGTCAAGCCTCAGGAGTTGAGTGCAGTCTTCACCAGCATCCTCACAGATATACTCAAATGGGTAAAATGCTTCCTAAGCTAATTGTTTTCCAAAGTTCCTCTGCTGTTTGAGAGCTCCTTGCTTACAACAGAGATGAGTCAAACATATATGCTTACCTCAAGAAGCTTGAGTCAGAGGAGTTCTCTTTCCGTTTGTACTCAGTCAAGCCTTATGTAATTTTCTCTTTACCAAAAATAAACCTAGTTATTTCCATGACATTTAGCATTCCAGCAGAATTCTCCATAAAACTGAAACACCAGTTTCAGTCAAATTTGGTAAGATTTTTACAGCGGTGCTCTCAAATTCTTCTTTATTGGTGGGGAGAAGTGTTTTCCACCAACTCTTTGTAGTTTCTTGAGCAAGTGTCATTCTAGAAAGCTAGAATGGTTAACAGAAACATTTGGATCAGGGGTGACAAAGCGCTCAGCACCACCAAATTATAAAATGTAAGGCCAAAACTTTCAGCATAAAGTAAACCAAGGCATGCAACTCTCGGAAATGGATTTCATGCCCGTTATACCAAGCTTCTGCTTGTTGTCCCAGAAAGGTCTCTCGCACCTCCACTTCTGTTGAACTTGCAGGCTTTCTCTGACCTTGGTGCCTCTGTGGTTTGTCTAGGTCACTGTGTTCAGGAGCTGTCTGTGAAGAGAGAAAGGCACTGCTTTCCTGTGAAGCAGCACTAAAAATTCCACACTGCGTTGCAGCACCAAGCATGTTCTTGGCTGCGGAGAATTTTGTGTCTGGCCACAGCCCTTTCAGTGCAGTCCCGCATGGCTGCTAGCAGCAGGCTAGAATCATCCACATCCATGCAGTGTGCTAGCAGTGCTCAGCAACCATGCCTAAATTCCATTTGACTACCTGTGTGCCTTCCCTTCCCAGGACATTGTTCTCACCTTGAAAGAGAAGCTCTCCATCCGGAGCATTGTGCACTTTGCCCTCACTCTGGAGGAGCAGTACAACATGGCAAAGATCCACTTGCTGCATGAGGAGGAGCTCATTGCACAGGTGAGGGGACTCCCTTGCAAGCCCCTGCAGCCATGCTGGGGGTGAGCACCAGCACCAATGAATTGTCAGTGAGGTGCAGAGGAAGTTGAGCTCTGCAGATGTCACAAGAGGGAGCGAGCCTGGCCCCGTACAGCACATCTCTCTGCCTGAGGCATGTGTTAGCACTGCATTAACCACAGACCCTGGAGGAATGGTGCTTTCAGAAGTGTCTCCATTTAGAGAACCCACAAAGCAATACCCATGGGCTGGTATTGCTTGGACCATTTGGAGCAGTCAGGGATGAACATGCTTTTGTGCTACCTGTCAGATAGATGCATCTACAGGGGACTATTTGAGACAAAATGCTATGTACCCAGCTATTTACAATTCCCCAGTCAGAATTAACCCAGCCAGGTGCCACTTGGTTTAAATTCTAAATCCAAAGTTTGTGTCCTGCGAACAGATGGTTAGCTCTGTAATTCTGTTGCTCTGCTAGTAATTTTTGGCTACTCTCATTTGTGAGAATGTGCCTTGTTGGGAGTCTCATCTTCATGCCATTGACTTTGTTGGGTGGTTGTTCACTGTGATGCAGAGGGGTTCTGTAGCTAATACTTTCTAACTAATGGGCACATGTGCCTATGAATTTCTGCTTTGTTTCAGTTGTTGAGCCTGTATGGGACTTGCCTAGAATAAAATAGGCAAATGTGTAACCCAGGGGTCTTAACACTGTGTTGACATTATGAAGATGATCCAAGTGTCTATTTAGGGCTGCTGTATCTTATGACTGCACTTTAAAGCAGAGAAGCTTGTCCCTTCCTCTGTAATTATCAGATGGCCTTGAAACCTCTGTGCTGGTTATATTGCAAGTCTGCTAGATCAATGGATATTTAATGAAGTTTTGCTGTCAAAGGACTTCCAAGCTACCACAGAGAGAAGCAAAAATGAGAAGAAGAGTCAAAGATAAAATTACAAGCAGTGTCTCCTTGTATTTGCTAAGGACAGTGGCTAATCTGCAGCCATCCTGCTTGCCAGTAGCTTTAAATGATTTCTCTGAGCTCATACAAGCCAGAGGCTTACTATGCATTTATGAAGGGAAGGAGTTGTGTAGTTGTGGCATGATGCTATTTGTGTGTTGCAGGTGGTCCAGAAAAGAGAATCTCGTGACTACCGGTGCCTCTTCAGAGTTTGCTTTGTCCCAAAGGATCCCTTAAACCTCCTGCAGGAAGACCCAGTTGCCTTCGAGTATCTCTACCTGCAGGTGAAATCGAGGCATTCCATATTTCAGGATCTCTTCTCAACCAGTTTTCATTGCTGCTTTAAAACAAAGCATGCTTCAGGCCAGTCCAGTTGTGTGAATGTGAAATGCAGAGCAGTTAAGAACAGGTTATCCTCTTGCCAGAACTTGGACTGCCAGAACTTGCATTCATCTTGCCTTAAATTCTTGAGTCAACTTACATGTTTGGCTTTTTAACAGAATGAGATTGAGATTGAACAAGCTGGGTGGCTCACTTTATTTGATGCACAGTAGTCATATCACAGGTTTTACCCAACTTTCTCTTGATCGCTCCTTATGCTAACCCAGTGCTGTTTGTTCCAGAGCTGTAGTGACGTGCTTCAGGAAAGATTTGCTCTGGAAATGAAATGCAGTGTGGCATTACGTCTGGCTGCTCTGCTCATACAGGAGAGGATCTATGCTTGTGCTCGGCCACAGAAAGTGTCCTTGAAATACATTGAGTAAGTTCCCTAATTTCTGTGTTATGTTATGACTATGCCTAGTGAAAGGAGCCAACTAGAAGTGGCATCAGCTCTATGTTTGCCCAGTGTTTAGCTCTGGATAGAAGACTGACCCAGAGTGACTTCAGTGTCTTAGTGGCACCAGTCATTTTAGGGCAAGGAGGCTTCCTGTCTTTAACCTGCTCAGCTGCTTGAATAATACGGACAGTGTAACATGGGCAAGTCCCTACGCAGAGGGACGTTCTGATCTGTGGCTACAGCAGGGACATGAAATTGCAAATCTCTCATGTAGTTACGGTTACCTAGGCTGCTCCTGGCAGTATACTAACACTTGTATGCTGTAGTTAAGAGTGAGGATAATAAAAAAAACTTTGCACAGCCAGTACTTCACATCTCTTCATCCACCAGAACTGTATCAGAAATATCCAAGTTCAGTGTAATTTATAGGTTCTGTGAAGTGATGGGATCTGTAAGGAAATACTGAAAAATGCTTCCACAAGCAGCAGGTGTGCTGTGCCGCTTGCCAGTGCGGTTAGACCACACTAGCCCCAAGGAACAACTTTGCTTTAAAAACCTGTGATTGCCCATCATTTAATAACAGACACTTTTGTTGTAACTGCACCATTGAGCCTCTGCCAGCCTGTGCAAGCACCACTGATTCCTTGCACACAGCCAGACATACCCAACCATGTGCAGTTAGTGGAGACTGAGAAGCAACTACAGATGACTGCAGCATTCTTTCTTCCTGGATATTTAATGCTTGGGATGAGTAAACTCTTCAGCAGAACAGATAGCCCACATTTTTGAGTGTAGG